TTTTACTATATCTATATTCTTTTACACTGCATAATTCAAGAATATTTATTGATGTTGAATTTTTAACGCGTTTTGTATCATGGATTATAGTTATATCGTACTTTTCTCTTATATCGAGGGAGACGATATTAAAATTGACACGCTGCTCGCTCGCAGCTGAATTTTCTGAGGAAGCATGCTTGAAATTCGAGTTGAGAGGGTCTTTTTGAGAATCATCACGTATACAAGCATCGACGAATTTGACAGCTATACGTGAATGAATTCGAAAAAAAACAAAGTCTCGAGATTCAATCTGTACGATATCCTTCTTCGTACAACAGAGTAAAATTTTTCGAAATAATAATTACATAATTTACGATTTATTACCATTTTTGAGCGTTTTTTTGAATGTTTTGAATAACTTTGAGGATTCGGAAGAACCACTCAAGTCACTGATTTCATCGTTCGGATTCTCCAAACGTGCGGCATAAACTGGCAACTCGCATACATAACGTGGGGAAACCGCGGGGCTTTACTTTCGATCTTCTCTCGCACCCTCGGTCCTCTCGCTCTCTCTCTTTCTCTCTCTCCTTCCCCTCCGTTTCTCTCTTTCTCTCTCCTTCTTTTCGTTTTGCGTTTACCGAGAGACGGCGGTGATTGATTGTCCCGTCAGCGGCAGGCAGACCGGGAACTAACAAAAGTAACAAAGCACCTCCGTCCTGAGAGAACGCTGCCGCCGCCGCGCGCTTTTCGGCGAAGTTGAATTGCTCGCCGTTTTACCGATTTCGTCGCCCTGTCCGTTCATCCCCGCGTGCTTAATCTCGTTCTTCATTCTGAGATTGCGAGATGGTAGGGAAAACTCGCGAGACCTCGGTATCTTGCGTCAAAACTTGCGCTCTTTTTTCCCTATCGAATTCAGAAACATTTTGGATGACGCCATTAAAATTTCTGCATCAAACAATCTGCATTTTTTTCTTTCATCTTTGTTGAACTCTTTTATTTTTATTTCTTATTATTATGCATGTTTTATTAACATTAATGTATGCTTCAAATAATGCAATGACGCAGAAATTTCGTAGCGTCGAGTATAGAATTACTTTATTTTGATGGGGATGATTTTTTACTCCGTAGTAATTCTAGAATAAATTATATAATAATATAATAATATAATATAATAATTATATAATATAATAATAATATAATAATTATATAATATAATAATAATATAATAATTATATAATAATATATAATAATAATAATAAATTATATTTGAGAAAAATATTTGCATGCTGCAATCTCGAGAAATTCATTGTTTGCTCATTAGCCCTTTTAAACGTTGGGCCGCAAAAAATTGAATTTCTACCGAGACGTAAAGTTACCCATGCAAGAAAACAAAGTATTGTTTAGGAGTAATTTACCGTACGATCGTAGAGGAAAGATGGAAAGTTTCAAACCATATTTGAGTCGAGCGAATGCATTAATTATCGCTTTCAGACACAAGGGAGAGTTTTAGATATCCTAAAACTGCACGCGTCACTTACGTGGCAACGCACACACACGCACGCACGATATCGCCCAGGTCGGGGGTGGTACGTAAACGGTCAACAATGGTGCACAGAGTCTCTCGTCTGGGTAACACCCTAGAGCTAAAGAGTGTATTAGCGCGCGTCAGATCGTTAGGGTCTACATGATGTCAAGCGCATACATCCCCGGTATGAAAATTTGCGGGGCGAGTATAGGTGAATTAATTCATCGCGCAGACGAATACAACTTTCTCACCTTTTAGAGACTCTCTCGCGTGTTATAGCGCTCGACGCATAATTACCCGCCGTTTTACAGCCGTTTGCCAACTTGTTTATTTAACCTATGGCTTGGTTTAATGATGCAACGGAAATAAGAAAGACTGTCTCAAATTTTGCGAATCGCTACTAGCTTTCAATGATGACATGTTTTGTTAAATTTGAAGATTGACTTTTCTTACGATATTTTGAAAAAAAAAGAGTTTTTTTATTAAAATAGATATATGAAAAAACGATGAGAGTTGTAATTTTATTGTTAATAAAATTTTTATTGCAGAGTTTAAAAATTCGTGCAAATTAAATGTTATAGGTGTGTGAATAGATGATGATATTTTAAATATTTTTAGTTTGACTAAAATAAACTTTATTTGTTAACATTAATTTAATTGTAGAATCTCACAAATTTATCAGAATATTTAATATTGTAACGTTGAAACAAAATAATTAGAGAGTCATCCCCATGGGTACATATTTTTCATATATTCTCAAATACCTATTGAAAATTGTATCTTATCGCTAGCAAAATTTAATATTTGTTACGAAATTTCATTGGTATTTGGATTTCTATCAGCAACTACAATCAAATTCACCGTAATTCGCAATGAATTGATTTCGGCACTACATGCGTGTGAACTGTGATTGACTTCTGGTTAAACGCGTATTCTGCAATATTACAAGCGTTAGGTATAAATGCTACAAATATTATTGACACGCAATTGGTCGAGCGGCGAGTCAACGCGTTACACCGATAAAACGAATCATGTAATTGATAGAATTATTAGTGTCGCGTTGTGAGGTCTATAATGATGCCGAGACGTATCGCGGATATGTTATGTTAATCGCTTTATTACTCGTTTTGTCACTTAATGAGAGGTCCTCGTAATAATTTGCATGAATATAACAAACGGTAAATCGATAAGCAATATTAGATATCGCGTAATATTAGATTCTCTCTTGAAAACTTTGTCATTTTAAAAACTATGTAATTTTAAAAACTATATCTTGATAATTTAAATTTTATACTGTCTAGATAATTTTTTTATTTTATTACTGTCTTAATAAGAAAATAAAAATAAATAAAATAAATAATAATAAATATTTTTTCTTGAAATTTGTATTTTTTCATTTCGGAATAATATATTAGAATAAAAAATCTTGGTATTGATACAATTTCAACAATAATTTTAACTCTTCATTGTCACTTTGAGTTTCTGACATTTTTTCTCGACATATATGAGTGACGTGAATCCGAATAGAGAATATTATTACAGATACAATAATTATCCTACAATAATTATCCTCAACGCTTCTTTATTCAATATATCACGATAATATCGGACGCATTCGCGCGGCATACCTAATTAACAATTATTAATAAATGCGAGCAAAAAATGGGAGGCATTTAAAAGCAGCCGAATGAAGCGAAGCCGCTTTAATAACAGATCTTTGCGATTAATGATGCGATTATGCGGCCGTCCGCGCTTTTGAATAGCATTCGCGTAAACAACCTCGTCGAGCGCTTATGGTCGTGACTCCTTTCTCAATACGCGGCGATACACCCGGCGATCTCGTTATAAAGCGGAAAAACACATTAACGCGTCAAAACCCGCGTTTAACTCGCGCGGTGTCAAGCGCACACACTCGCGTCTCCCAACCCCTCGAGTGACCGGTCAGGGGGGAGGGGAGAGGACGGGGGGCCGGGCGCATCGAAAATATCCGCGTAAAACGTTTCATTGGGATATATTAAAAAATAATAAATTACATTAAATTTCAATCTCTCTCTAGGTCGAGAGCCGGTATTAATGATGGCGCGCGGTGTCAAACGCATGCACCGCGCCCGGCCGGCCGGGTACATGCGTGCGTGCATACGTGCATGCGTGCGTGCATGCGTACGTGCATACGTGCGTGCATGCGTGCGTACATCGAATAAGATATACGTTGTGAAAGTGTCGAAAATTTTATCCGCGTCATCCCTCGGCCCATCCATCGGCGCGCGAAACATATTGTGAAAAGTATTGTATTTCGAGAACGTTATGTCGCTAAATTATGCGTGCATCGCTTAAAATGAACAATCGACCGATTTTTGATCCTATTTAATCGATTCGAAAGATCCTATGGTGTTACCTTTATTGTTCGAGTAAATGAGATAGCAGGTGTTTATAATCTTTTTCCAAAAGCCACAATTAATCTTTTATGCGTAATTAAAACGATGCGTTATTAAAATTACTGCATAATTTTAAAATGTGTCACTCAACTAATTTTGGTTTCCTATATATGTATGATGATTTTGTTTTAGGAGACGTGAGTGAATTATTTTTCAAATTAATATCTCATGATAAATTTCCACGGAAATGTTCACTCTTTTATATTCTATTTATCATGCATTTAACGTGCAAAATGTTCGATTGAACTCCCGACGAGTTTGTATTCAGACTTTGGAGGCAAAAAGCAAGAAGCAAATAGCAAAAAAGGGCAAATAAAATGAGTAGATTTCTTGAGAGTGACTTTCTTTAAACGAAGGCGGTTTTCGTTTCTGAGCGTTTATTCGGCGAGAACGTCTGCGAATTATCGAACATCACGTCCCACGGCATCAATCAGGGGCCAGCGGGAAGTGTTGTATTCGTGTAGGTGAGCGCGGATCCCCCAAAGGTGGTGATTCCGTGATGGTGTCAAGTGCACACCATCGTGGCGGCGGCGAATGAAAATTCGGAAAGCAGTTTAGGTAGATCAATCCGCGTCCGGGGTCAGCGATTCGCTCAAGGTAGAACGCGTATAATAAAGCGGCTAATAGGGCGACGAGGCGAATGGAAACGAGGGTGAATAAGGAACTTTCAGGGATGTGTGTTTGACGTTGGCCTGTTCAGCGGTTTCTTAACATGGGAAACTAACAGGGTTTTTCTTAATATCACATACGTCGTTTCATACAATTCCTTTCTGCAATTCAGACGCATGTATAAAAATTTTATAAATAGATACCACAAGAATAATATTATTATAATTATAAATCAAAGATTTGATAAAATCTTTGTTAAATGATCGATGGGGCTAAGAATGGTTCCTTGAACTTAAACTATCACAACCATATGTTGCATGTCGATAGAATGGGAGTATCAGAAATGAACATGAAAGAAATAATAAAAACGTGAAATATCTCTTTTATTCAAACAATGTAAACTGCGAGTTTCACTGCAAGAAATAATGGATTAACCATTATGTTTACAGGTGAAGATTTGGTTCCAAAATCGGCGCATGAAGTGGCGAAATAGCAAGGAACGAGAGCTTCTAGCAACCGGTGGTTCGCGCGAGCAGACGTTACCAAACAAGAACAATCCCAATCCGGATCTAAGCGACGCTGACGGGGATCGGCCAAGGATGGACCTGAGCGACGTGAGTCCGCTCACGAGTCCTCAGAGGCCTGAAGAGCAAACCGAGAACGAAGAGGACGAGGAGATTAACGTCACGTGATAAAGCACATCGCTGGACCCAGCATTCCGACGAAGTAGCGATAACTCATAATTTGTGAATCGAGGAGAATATACCGGCTGGACCAAAAGAAAAATTTTAAACAAATCGCAAATTCGGTAGGCATTTGAAAAAAATTAAAGAATCTATAATTCAGAACTTAACATTTTCATTTTTACTACATGTATATTATCGCAATTTTTTAGTATCGATTATGTAATATATGAGAGAATATACATTTCCTCCTGACCTCTTTTTAAGCCATTCAGTATGCTTTACAGAGATTATTTTACATTGAGAAATGTAATTTTACATTGTACAAAATTTAAGATAATTGTTAATTTTAATCATACATTTTTCAGCTGACCAATATTTTATTGGCAATTATATTCGTAGAAAATTGAATTACAGGGTGTTTTAAATTCCTTGTAAAACAATAACGCAAGTTGCATTAATGTTTCGTCTCATGTGATTCTTGTAATTTCTAGTGACGTATCTTCAATTATCTAATAGTCATCGACATTTGTCCTTAATATCTGTTTTTTCCGTCTTATATCACTTATGGTTTGCTCTACTTAACCGCACATGTTGTTGGTCCTGAACAAAAGGATACGACAAATGATGTATTATATTGTAATTAGCGATGGATGTACTTTCAAGGAGTCTTCTATAAGCCATTGTATAAGGTTGTATTAGACATAACGTTACGATTCTCCGGAAATATGTACCTAACTCTCTATTCATAGACCGCGACCGTGCGGCTAAATCCAAATGTAATTACATTCATTGTGATTCAATATAATCTATGTAATATATTGAAATAAAACTGTCTATATGCGCTAAGTGATTTATACTTCTAAAATCACTTCTAATATAAATGAAATTCCACATCTAATTCATCGTCTCTTTCTCTCTTTATCATCCAGATTTTAAAGATAATTCCTATCATTCTGGATTTTCTTGCAATTTTCAATAATTAAGATATAGAAGTTAAGAGAATAAATTTGTTACATAAGAATTTACAATCTATCTTTTAATTAAAATTTATATTGCAATGCATATTTATTTATTTAAATAAATCTTATATGTCAAATAAAAGATAAAAACTTTTGTGTATTCATGTCATACATTCAACACTAAATGATAATTTTTTTTCATATTGATTATTGAACGCTGTGATATATGTATGAACGCTAAATGTATATATGTAATTTATAAACACACGTGCGCATGATGTTCATATATACACATGATGCGCACGCGCATGAACCAACGTAAAATGAAAATTTCTATTTACCATATTTAGTTAAATGTATGTGGCATGAATATATAAATATAAAATCTTTTATCTTTTACTTAGGCCCGGTTCCACAACTCGAGTTAATCCGAGTTTAATATGTTAAACTGGGTCCTGATTGGTCCATTCACTACTTAAACTCGGATTAACTGGATTGTGGAACTGGGCCTTAATATATTAAGATTAATGGATTTAATATATATATATATATATATATATATATATATATATATATATATAATAATCACAATATGCATATCTTTTGCAATGAAATGATTGAATGTATCGCATATTCAAAGAATGTACATTTCTCAATTTGCAATATCATTAGTCGACTAGCGATTCTATAGGAAAGATGATTTCAATCTCGAAGTAAGTACTTTGCTGTTATCTTGTTGTAGCTTAGTCTATTCTTCCTCCATTTGCATTAATAATTTTTGTCGATTTTCTAATCTTTAGTATATCAGAAGTCGCTCTCTTACTATACAGAGTCGTATATAAATTTTATGAGTGGCTGCCTAATTTAATTTCTTCTTCGTGTGGTGGAAATTTAATTGTAAATCTTAATGGCCTTTTCAAGGTAGTTGATACGAGAGCGCTTTGTTAACATATTCCAGATCAAGCAAAGGTCTGTGTGGCGATATACTGACCGGAAAATCTAGGAAGGAAATCGTCGACTTTGATACAGTAGTCTGGCGAGTCGATAATGAATTGTGGCTTACCCTCATTATATATCCATTTGGATCTAATGTATCCAAAATAGGGAATACCGTCATTCTTTATTCAGTTGTATAAATCACAATTCAAATAGCAGAGGGGCTACTGCTTCTAAAAATTAACCCATTCCAGGTCGTTTTTTAAATCTCCACCCAGTTCGCTCACGATTCGCTTTCTTCATCTTCTGTTTATGATTCATTGTTTTTTTTAGCTGTTGATTCTTGTTCATACTCAGCTTTATTTATCGACAATTGTATATTTATTAAATTGGTTAATTTTAGCGATTTTCGGTATTGTAACGATATTTTTGTGCTTGAATAAGCGATTTTCAACCATTGATCATCAATGCGTTGCATCCCGCGTTTGCATTATATATTTTACAAAATTCACCGACTTTGTGTCGCAAATGTCATACCTTAAAATATCATGAGAGCTTTTGCACAAAATCTAATCCTAATATATATATAGCAGAAGTTAATATGTATTGAAAATCTTATGAATTGAATATATATTGTGTTGTAAATAGAAATTTATTTTTTTATACATTTTATATTAATTTAAATGGGATATATATAGTAGGCATACTGCTATTTACTTATTGGAAGAAATTCTCATGAAATAAAATTGTAATTATACGAAATTGTACATTCTTATATTAAAAATAGACAATAGTTGTCTAGATTTAACTCTAATTGTGAAAGCCAGGGGAATTAGAACTAAAAGAAATTTTTGTTATAAATATTTGATAACATTAATATATATATATATAAAAGTAAAAAGATTTAAAACCAAGATATATTATACATTAATTGTCTCAAATATCTATAATTATCTATAATAATTTATAATAATCTATAATAAAAATTTGAGTCTCCCTAACTTTCATATTTAGTATTAAATGTAATGAATAGATGACTACTGTCTTTATACTTCTGATAAGAATGTAAAATTTCAAATACAATTTTATTTTGAGGATTTCTCCCAATAAGTAAATAGCAATATGTCCGTTATATATTATACGTTATTCTATATTATATACTATTCTAAGCGTCTTAATTATTTTGCGCTTGAGGTTTCGACCATTCGACGCTTAGGATAAGATGATCGTAACCGTAACCATCCAAGGTAGCGATCGCTCTCGCGGCATCGGCCCTATGCTTGAAATGTACGTATGCGAAGCCTTTGCAGAGATTAGACAACTTCTCCTTGGCAAGGAACTGTTTCACTACAGAACCGAAAGGCTTCACGAGCTCGTCCAAATCAGCATCTGTTGTGCTCTGCGACAAATTTGAAATACGGATCGCGGTCGTATCGTCGCGCCTCTGCATTTGCATCGAGTCACCACGTTTGTTGCCGCCATCGCGCATGCCGGGTGGTACGTATTTGCCACCTTGCGGTTTGAGCTCGGCCATTGCACCGGGAACCCCTGTATTAACGAGAGGCTTCTTGTCATCTGGTACTTTTCCTAGAATAGAAATTTTTAACGATCAGTATTTTACAGTGATAAATAATAATATTTAATTATATGTATACTAAATTAAATTTTAGTTAGTGTATGTTTGTCAACCATTACAATTATTACAAATACTCACCGCCAGCAAGAACGGTATCTTTATATGGACATTTGGAAGTCCAGTGATCGCCATTGCAGTTACGACACTTGACAACACCCTTATCGCCCATGCTCTTCAATTTATCTAGAGAATCTTCTTCTACCTTGTTCTCTTCCTCTTTGCTGGATATGAACTGCATGAAAACGTCTTCGCCGATGACAGTAGTGGCTGGATTAGGTCCTGGCCTGTCATCGACGGAATCGCCAAACTTTGCCCAATTTTTACGTGCTGCGATCGTTTTTGATACAATACGTCGCTCTATTTTATAAGTGCGCACGACTTTGACCTTCTTGTTGTCTTGATTGTATTTATATTCGGTGAGGATTTTAAAACCATTCTCGTAGACTTCTGATGGCGCAGGCAATGCTCCTCCCTCTTCCTCGACTTCATCAGCCCAGCTGGACTTTACCTCAGATTGTGCAACTGGCATCTCTGTAAATTATACAATATTATAAATTTAAATGTGTATGATTCTTAAGTATAAAAGTAAATGTGTGTGCAACATGTGTTTGTAAACATCTAATTTTAAAATATTAGACGATTACTTTTTTTTATACAAATATTGAATATTTAATTGAATATTGTATTTAAATATTCAATTAAATCTCAATAAATTTTTTGGTCAAAGTGTCTTTTTCTGCTTATAGTAGAATCAAAATAAGTATTTAAATAAAAAATTCAGCTTTAAATTTTAATCTTTTATTTATTAATAAAAAATTGATATTTAAAGCTGATTAAAAATGATATTTAAAAATTAAAATTCAATACTTAGAAACTAAAATATAAATATTTAGAAATTAATTATTCTTAGTGATGTTTTATATTGATTAAACACCTAAAGTAAATACTTATTATACTTAACCCGTTAAAGTCTCAGTCATCTTATTTTTTACAATAAATGAAATGCTATTAGAGCCAGAAAATGTACACAAATGCTGAAACAAATTAGATATAAAATTATACAGTACTGTAATACATAAAAAAATATCACTAATGTATTTTATCTAATATATACTTTTTTACAAATGAGCTATATTATACTGAATTATGATTTAATGATAATTGACAATGCAATAATAATTTTTTCTTGAACTGATAAAAATATTTTTTTTTTATTTCTTTCTTTTTGTCTATGTGAACAGTATAACTTATGCCGCATGGTATAACTTATGCTGCATGGTGCATTAATTGAAAAATCCTAAAAATTGCAATTTCTATTCGATTTTATCAATAATTTTTGTTTGAGTAAAAGATTGTGTAAATGAAAGAACTGAATAAACAAATAAATGGATAACTGAATAAACAAATAATATTACAAAAAAGTAGAACAATACATTATTGTTAGCACAACTAACTACAGGTTAATTCGACGCGAGGAACACAAGGATGAACAAAACGTCGCGTCGAAGGAAAAAAATTCGTCATCGGACGTCTTACCGTGAAATTACGTTCGTAGCAAGTGGATGCAACACAAGTTACAATGAAATAAATGTCGATGATACTCGTACAGAATCAGATATCGTACAGAATCATGCGTCCATGTGGAATGATGCGAAAATCAAGATGGAAGAATCTTGGAACGATCTCGGCTTCGGTTTTCCTGACATTGCTGCCACAATAAAATATCGAAATACTCAAGTTCCTTTGAATCCGACGTCCAACCGGAAAATTTGTTCTTCCGGTGACAATCGTACCGTCAACTAGAAATCTCTAGAAAACAAGTTCTCCCATTGGATACCGAGTGTCATCATGTCCAACGTACGGTACTCGAGATCGGGTGGCACTCGATGGACCACGTGGCCAATTGGCCAATTCAAAATAGAACTCTCTGATTGGTCAATCGCTGCTGGTTACCCTAGGCACAGATCGATATAATTGGCTGCGGCCAATCGCAACGTGGCCAAACGGAACGCTCCCCTCGAGAGATCCGGCAACGTCGGTGAGTTGGCGACACTGTCAGCCGCCGCCAGATCGTAATGGCGACGTTTAGCGCGTTGTCGGGTCCGCCGTGAGTGAATAATGTTTCGCAAAACAGTATTTCGTTCATGCACGGGACAACGACCAAGCGAGTGAGCACGTAACGTTTTGACGGGTAGTTTTAACAGGACATCGGTAATCGAGCGCCCGCCATCATGGATCAGGCTCCCGCAGGTGAGCACGCTGTCTCGAGGTTCGCCGATCCGGTCCCAGCGCGCTCTCCATATACACATTCACACGCACACACATTACCGTGCTGCACCATACATCATCACATATATGACACACATACTTTTCCCGCTCGTGTTTCTTCCGGATATTAAACCGCGAAACCGTGTAACCCTTTTAGTTGCACCTTATGGTTTTATTTAAATTATTTCTAGAACAGAAATGAAGTAAAATATTTAAATATTTAGTATCTGAATTCTCTCCTACATTAGGTTACGCGCGCGCGCGCGTAAAATACACATGATGCTATATTCACTGAATTTTAAATGAACGTGTACAGGAGTAATAAAACGATTTCTTATGAGTAATTTATATAATGATCTTTACTATGCTATATGGAAGTCCATGTAAGTGGACTTTATCATAATTTCTTCTTGTACTGAAATATATAAATATGTGTACTTTTGTTCACAGTAATAGCGAGATACAATTTTATGCATACGCAAAATTCTATAATTTTATTTTGCTACTTTTAAGAATCATTAATTGATGATTTGATTAATAAACAGCGTGTGTTTAAGCATGAATGTATGACTTTCTATAGGACCAAAAAGTAATGGAGTATAATAAACTGATTAATTAGGTATATTTAATAAATAGTAGATTCTAATTCCTTATCGGATCTCTAATTCTTGTTGTTTTCATTTATAACATTTAGACACAGAATTACGGAACATCATAGACAAACTGGCGCAGTTTGTCGCTCGCAATGGACCAGAGTTTGAGCAGATGACAAAAAACAAGCAGAAGGACAACCCGAAGTTTAGTTTCCTGTTTGGGGGGGAGCACTTCAACTACTATCAATACAAAGTGACTACAGAACAAGCCAGTAAGTGGGATATACCCCCTTAACAGCTACAGTGTGATTGAGAAGCATAAGAAAATGGTCATGCTTTATACGACGAGCAAAGGAATGACTTTAAAAAAATGATACAAGGTCTCTGATTTCATCATTGCAATCGTACAAAATGTATTCGTCGAATAAAAACAATCTTTCTTTCAAGATTTTGGGATTGCTATTTATTAAGCAGAATGCTTTTATACTAAAAACATGTTGCATTCTTTGGCAATGGCAATTTTACGAAGATGTAGTTTTAACATTCTCTTACTGGAGTTTATCTAATACGAAGTACATTCAATGCATCGTTTCAATCTATGCGTGGAAAATACAATCCACCATACAAAATAATATATGCCTTATATAATACCCTCGTAAACAAAATGTAAAAAAAAAAGAAATAAAAAAAGGAAAAAAAAAGTATAGTGCTCCCAAAAGCCTTACCGCATTTTCTGATACTATACTTTTCTCGTGTAAATGCCCAAGAATTTTCTTATATGCACCGGTAGAAGATAAGACTCGGCAGAAAAAAAAATCGAGCTATCTGTATACACATTTTTCAAATATCGATTGACAAGGACTCAAGCATCTCACAATAATCTACCGTCATTCGTTTACAGTTTTAAAGCAAAAAGGAATAAATCCAATGCAAAATGCAGACCCACGTTTAAACGTTTCGCAGCAGCAGCAAACAGCCGCAAACGCCGTCTCGCAGCCACTGAATAACGTCAATCTTACGTCCGGTCTGAGTACACAAAACAATGGCATAAACCCAGTGGTCGGGATCGGAAGTCAGGGCGGTCCCGTTTTGCCTGGACAAATCGGAGGGCCGGGAAATGCAGGGCCGCCAATCGGACCGGTTTCTGGCGCCATGGGAGGTGTGAATCCGCCGATCGCCGGAGTCGCGCAAACGGTTAACATCGCGGGTCCACCCGCGTGGCTGCAGAATGAACTGGCGAATCTACAGTCGCAGCAGACGACGTTGCAGGAACAAGTTAGACAATCAGAACAGAACCTGGCTGCGCAGCACGCTGCATTGATGGCGCAACAGCAGGGAAGAGTAGAGGATGCAGTGAGGCAGGCGCAGGAACAGGCTTTGCAAAACAGTGCGCAAAATACGAACACAGATTTGGCTGCGTTTGACACGGTGTTACAACCGATCATCGATAGCTGCACAAAGGATAGCATAAGCGCTGGAAAGGCCTGGATACTTCAGAATTCACTTACTCCACAAAGCAATCAAGTTGTCGCGGATCATTTGCTAAAAAAGTATGTATAAGTATGTACGCATTTTTTTTTATATATATATACTATGTTTTTTAATTTACATTTAAATATTTTTTTCAGAGTTATTCAGGGGACAACCTTTAGTCATAAACTACATATTATTTATCTGGTGAATGACGTCTTACATCATTGGTTAGTATAAATGTATATACACATCCAAATTAATTGCACTAATCGCCATTATTATGCTAAAAAAATGTATTATTTTTATTTTCATTCATCTATAATTGTGATAAGTTCGCAAAATAATTCCTATAATTTCTTCAATTGAAAACTCGTTCTAATTATTTCTAAAATTCCCCGATATTATTATGACACACTATTTATATTCACAATTTTATATTAAATGGCAATATACAATAAGCTAAAATGTTATGGCATTGCTTGTATACGCGATATTTAATTGAAAACTTCTTCAGTGCAAGAAAAAAGTCTATGGATCTGCGAAAAGCGATGGAAAGTGTTGTTGTTCCCATGTTCTGTAACACCTCACTAGCAGCATCCGAGGAACAACTTAATAAGTTGAATAAACTGTTGAGTTTGTGGGAGTCAAAGAACAATTACTTCGATGAAGGGATTATAGATAAGTTGAAAAAACCGAGCGCATCTTGGTCAGAATACCAGGCTAATTTGGTAGCGCAACATGCCACAGCGATTACTCCAATTACAGCATCAACGAAACAGACATTCGATGGTTATCAGGCGCAACATCAAGCGTTTGTCACTCATGCACTGAGACAGATTCAGAATATCGAGCAACAAAAGATGGCAATAGATCAGCAATTAAAAGCACCACCGCCGCCGCCACCACCTCAAATGGTATAGTATCGTGTTTGACTGAAATAACTTTTTTCTTTTTTTTCTCCGATATATTTATGCGAAATTTTATCTATTCAGAATCAGCAGAATATATCGATACCGCCTAGTCATTCTGGTCCTCCCGGTACAATGGGCACAGATGTGAACTTCAGTCAACCACCACCAGGATGGGGTGTCCCACCATCGAACGAACCGCCGCCATTTAGTAATGTGCCCTTGCCAGACTTTTCGAAGCCACCGCCAGGATTTGGACCGCCGCCTGTTATTCATGAGCCCTCCGTAGAGGATTTGATGCCTAGTATGCCTTACTTCGAGCTTCCAGCTGGTTTGATGGTACCTCTGATAAAACTAGAAGATGGTGAATATAAACCATTGGATCCGGATGCAATAAGACTTCCACCACCAGCTCCACCGAATGATCGTCTAGTTGCAGCTGTGGAAGCATTTTATGCGCCGCCAAATCATGATTCTCCTAGAGATAGGTAAACATATATATATATTTGAATGTGGTGTCTTAAAAGTTAAATATTCCAAGGAAAAGATAAAAAATATATGTAGGAAAATACATGATACACAATATTTTTTTTATATTTTAATTTTTTATAAATGATATTTCTGATTATTTTTACAGTGATGGATGGGAAAAATTAGGTTTATACGAGTACTATAAGGCGAAAAATGCTTCTCGCAAGCGTAAGGAAGAGGATATTGTCGCTGGGATTAGACAAAAATCGAAATCTCCTTCGCCGATTCTACGGCCGAGATCCAAGAGTCCTAGTCCGCCAAAGAAACGCTACAGGAGTAAGTCGCGCAGTAGATCACGCTCGCGATCACGTGGCAGAAGTAGATCGAGATCTCCTGCGGCCAATCATCGACGCAATAGTCGTAACAGCAATCACATCAGTAGAAGCCGAAGAAGGAGGAACAGTAATAAAGATCGTAGTCCCGATAGAAGAGTGGATAGACAAGATCGAAGTCCAACTCCTCCTAGTTTTCTGTGAGTATAACGATATTAATTTCCTTTCAATTATCTTTTATTTATCTTCTTTTATGCAAATAATGAAATAAGAAATGTTTTCTTTATATCTCTCTTTCCTTATATATCTTTATTCTTTTACAATTTTTGTTATTAAACATAAATTGTATATTAAATTGTATATTGTGTGTGTGTGTATAATTATATATTAAATTTCATTTTCCATCCAGTGGTTCCACCTATAGTAAAGCTCCGCAAGAGATCAGTATTGACGAAAGCAATAAAGGACATCAATTGCTGAAGAAGATGGGTTGGGGCGGTGCGGGTCTTGGTGCTAATGAGCAAGGTATCGAGGCACCTATTTCCGGGGGCGAGATTCGTGATAAGAACGACCAATATAAAGGAGTTGGTATCAATTTGAATGATCCGTACGAAACTTTCCGGAAGAACAAAGGCCAGGCATTCATTACCAGAATGAAAGCCAGGGCAGAGGAACGAGCCGAGGAAAGAGGAGACCGTGATTAAGCACGATTCGAATGCAAGGTTCGCGGTGCTCTGGGAATGGGACGAATATCTTGGCATGCGACTTGAAGATAAATCTCATAATGAAAGTTCATTCGCAGTTCCAGGAGCATTTATGCGATCGTTTACAAGAATTAATTTCGAAAATCGATACAAGGTTGATTTTCTCTATTCTATGATTTCCCTCTCCATCCCCATTTTTATTCCAAAAAAGTCAAGCGCTCTGTTTTATTTTGTTCATTCGCTTTCTCACTCGAATGGTTATGCAATTTGAATAGTGAGAGAATAATAAAGAATGAAAAAGCTTAATTTAGAGGAAAACAGAGAAGAGAGGAAATTGATCATACTTTTTTGTCTTTCGTTAATCCTAAACTCGTTGCGCATGTCGATTTTTGAATGGTCATAGATGGACGCTGATTGTTTTACGCTGAAACCACATCGATTATTTTTATCGATAGTTTTGTAACCTGAATGTTACTGAAGCGATAATTATGAATTTTACGTGACGCAAAATTGTATATTTTTGACATAGAATTACAGACATTATTTATTTCATATTTAATGTAATCTATATAGATACAATGAAATAAATATTAAGTCTGGTACAAGTATGAAATTTTGATAAAAAAAAATCGAGACAGTCTCTATATAGTTATGCATGATCTCGTATATCGAAGAAGATTAAAAGGATTCAAGCGCGCAACGTCAACGTCCGTCGACAGAAAAAAATCTTGGATCCTGTTTAACTTTTAATCATATTTCACGCATAACGATTCAATTTCGTTCCATTTTTACATATTATTGCAGAATACTATGCAATTACAAAAGTGTAAGTTGTTTCGTGCCGTCATCGCATGAACGTGAGAAATATGTGAGAGCTAAAAATACTTGTATTTAATAAGTTAACAAATGATTATATTGGATACACGACGATAGCTCAAAAATAAAAGCTGTACATTTATTACGAAAGCGAATGCAAACATTCGCCATTACTGTTTCCTCCACTCATCTTCTTTATATTAAATATATTCTTACCAAATCACCTAAAATCGGTTATTAAAACTTCTCTATTCTCGCTATTTTTAACAATAAGTCCTAAACACGATACATATACATATATATAATAATGATAATAATAATGATTGAGATTTAAGGCATATAGTGCATTTACTTTATTTTTAACTTGTTTCTCTTTATATAGAAAGAAAGAAAGAAAGAAAGGTTCTTCTTATTTCTTAAATTGTCTTATCTCTTTTCTTTGCTTTTATATACTATTCTTAATATTTATATATCTTTATAAGATATAATCTTTATATATCTTTATATATATTTAGATTTATGATAGTTTAAACAAAATTTAAATCTTGATTATAATTCAATTTATTTAATGAAACGGCAAGCGAAAAATGTTAATCATTGCATCAATGAATGTAAATGAGACAGAACCAGTTTTTCGATCTTAAATAGTTGGATTATTATGTTATATATTGACGAATTAATATTCCTTTATTTCAGTTTTATGTGAATAATGGGAGTATATATTTTAATTAGATGAGAGAGGAATAAGGGGACGCGAGACACAACTTTTAATTGAAGCGAGACTATCACGTGGCGTAATAGAACGTTCTTCGATCCCAGTTGCCTTCTCTTCTTATCGCGCGTCACGTGCGTGCACGTGAATTGGAAGGAAGAAAGAAAGAAATAGAGAAGCTTCATTTAACTGGCTAAGAACGGCTCGGCGAACACGACCCGAGTGCAATCGATGCTCGCCTTTTTGAACTCCCCCAGCGACAGCTGATATCGAAACCGACTAAATCCGACGACGAACCGGTTCTTCGTGACGATAACCATGGCACGGCCGTCACATCGAGACGCAAACAAAGCCGAATGATGATTGGATCATTCTTGCATCTCGCTATCCACAATTCCGCGCAACTTATATCTTTGCGATATATTCTTAGCGAATGTTATTAGCGAATTGCGATTTTTCCACACACGATCGATACAAAATTACGCAGAATATTACCTGGTTTGTGCGTGCGTACCCAGAACGTTTCACAAATTATCGCGTCAGCAAAAACATATCTTTTGCGCACGAAAGTGAGCGTGCGAAAGTGATATCGCACTTTCGCGAGCTTACAGATAGATTAGAGTATCGCGAGAAAATGCAGTTTATGCAAGAAAATCAGTCGGTTTACAAAAATTATCTTCTCACGTCATAGCCCGAGATGAATTTTCTTATGCAATAGATTATTAGAAAGCATTATTTGCTGCATTTTCTCAATTTTTAAATCAAATATCTGCTAGAGACAAGATAACTCGAGATTGATCGAGAAATGAGATTTTGTTTGTTAAACTATAGAGAAAGTATAAATCATATACAAAGTTAAAAAGAAAAAAAGCTAAGGATCAAAGATTTCACTTTGATTTAAAAATTGATAATGAATGTTTTTAATTGATATTTTATATTTAATCATGTTTTTTTTACATCTGTGCATGTCAACGCATCCGATAGTACGTGCATGACATATGTGTTATATATGTGTATATGTGTGCGTGTCGGTTAGTTTTTAACATGAACGATATAATTGAACGAACCGGATGAAAAGACGGTAATCATATTTCAATTCGAGCTCGTGTGATCCCAAATTCCAAGGCGATGAAGCCGAGGCGCGGCCACTGATCGTTGCGTTTGCATTCGCGAGAGAAACGTGCACGCATACATGCGTGGAGACACTCGTGCGATTACGGCACGTTTGGCGGAAACGTGACGCTAAGCGTGGAGAAAAAAATGTACGCACGGGTCCGATAAGCCGATCACGTCCATGGTTCGATGAGCAAAGGCGTTATATTTTAGGAATGCGGTGGCCTCGTACTTTTAAGCTGCTGTTCATAAGAAAGGATAAAGATCACAGTGTCGCTAAAAAGCGTCATATCAAGAAATACATATAGACACACATATATATACACATTGAAAGAGCAAGAGCTCGATGTCTAATGTATCTTTTGTAAAGGCGTTTTTTTCTCCGCATTTTCTATCGTTCTCTTTTTTTCCGGATCGTGTTAGAAAACATTATTATATCCACTTATTATATCCTATTTCAGACAGATATGATATGATATATTTGTTGCGACAAATAATGTCTTTGTAAAAAAGAATTTTTACGACAAGGAGAAAAGAGAAAAAAGAAAAGTTGAGTATCTTGGATCGCATGATAGTTCTGTGATAGTCGGTACGCACGACGCAAATTGACATTTCTAAAAGGGGTTCAAACTGCCCCCTCTGACCTTTCGGCGCGCATCATTAATGAAGTAAATATCTAATTTTATGGTGCACGTTAATATGATACAACAGCGATAATGCCGTTTATCGCTGGTTATTTATGGTACTGTGCAAGAATGCAGTTTCTCATGGAAACCTCATCTCCAAAGCGAATGTAATATAACAATGTTACGTAACAATCGGACATATGTACATACGCAGTTAACAGGCGCGATTACATTTCTTTATTAAGATGCATGAAAATTTAAATGGAGATATATGAAAAGCTTCCTTGGAAATGGATGCTATTTTGTTTAAAGGCCAACAATGACTTAAATTTAAACTTTACTATTGAAAATTTATGATTTAATTTTTGCCTATGTAGTTGGATAGTGCGTATCTTTTGTTATCTTTCAATTGTAGGGAGTTGAATGACAAATTAAACAGTATGAAATGAGATATACGATTTCGAATAGCTGTTTTAGCGTAAATATTGAATGCCAACTGATGTCGTTTTACAGATTTGTTAAATAAATACCGGTAAATATCATCTACTCGCGGTGACCGTACCTACTTTCGAAAACTAAATCGCATTCTGCCACGAGTGACCTCGTATGTAACTGTCACGTAAAAACCGGATCTCTCGGTACTCGAGACGCGTATTTAGGACGGAAGTGCAAGTCTGGCGACAATTTTAAGTGATCGTGGCTGTTGATTCCTTTTATGAACCATGTCGTAAGCGCGTGATGATCTGTCAATATGAATGTTCTACTTTGCTAATCTTTTATCGCGAACATTATTACAAGTGTATTTAAAATTTAACGAAATATTACACTTCGTTTAGTAAAAGTAATGTTTTATTGAATTTATACGAGAGAACTAAAGTACAGAATTTTATTTTATATGAATATATATAATTTATTATTTTATTATTTTATTATTTATTATTTTTATATAATTTCGTGTAATAAGAGATTATAATCTCTTTTAAAATTTCAATTAAAAGTACATTTTAATTAAAAATAAATTCGAATATTATAAACTTAATTGAAAACATGTACAGTTTATAAATATTTCAAAAAAGCTATTTACAAGCTATATACAAAAGTGATATTTTAATTGTCAAGAAATATTTTTTAAACGTGTACTATTTATCTCTTTTCATCTCGTTATTCGTATAATTAATAATTAATTATACTGTTTTATTTTGTACCGCACATATTATGCTTAATCGTATCAGAGTAACGTGACTATTATCATCATTAATTGTAGCAATCGTTGGTGCGACTTGGATGCTTTTCAAGACTCGTACCGAGAGAACCTTTGTCGGAAGAAGTTTGAATAGTGTACTCACAAGATTTAATTTTCATCGTGGGAATGAGAGGTTGACAGTCGGAGAAAATTTCACAATTATTACCGTGTTTCTAAAAAAAAAAAAGCTCTAATAATAGAAATGACAAGATGTGGAATGACCGAAGTTTATTACTTTAATTATTCGCTGAATCGAGCAAAATTCTTATCAAAAATTTCACATATTCTTCAGAAACGGAATTCATTGAGGGATTCGCGATCTTGGGAAGGAAGCTGTCAAAATCTAGCGTCTCTCTCAGCTTTCTCTCCAATTCCTCTTCCATATCTCATCGACTACAATCTTTCGTGCGTGTGTCCATGCCAGTGGGCAAGTCGTTGGAAACGATGGAAAGCAGGCGGCATACAGAATGTTGTATCGCGAGAGAAGGTGCGAGGCAAAAGGAAGAAGAAAGAGAGAGAAGGAAGAGGGTGGAAAGGAGGCGAGGGGGGAAAGGCCGGTCGGGAAGGTCGAGGGGGGGGGGACGGGGAGAATGTTCAACCGCGTTACATTCCACGTGATCGGGAGAAGGGCACGCCTCGGCGACGCGGAGTCACGCGCGCGACCACGCGTCCGCCCTTCCCGACACGTGCGCGCAATGTGCGCGCCGAGGAGCGACTCGATTCCGCGGCCTGTTCGGTGACATCGTCGCCGTGTGCGGTTTATTGCGGCATACGCTGAAACCGCGCCGTTTGCGTAATGCGGGAAAGTAGGTGGAAAATAGTCCGGGCTACAGGCGTGCGCGAAGCGGCCTCGTCGTCGCTTTTCCATCGGTTGCGTGCAACGAGAAACGCCTAGCTAAATGCAATACGTATGCATTGTACCTGTCGACGGATTAGACTCAACGAGCGCATAATTGATTCGAATTATTATTTTCGTTTTATACATTTTTCTCGGGACAAAAGGGAAAGAAAAATCCTTTGATAAATATAATAATATCTATATTTAATCGTATTTTATATAATAATAAATATAATACTATTATTATATTATATAAAAGTGATTAGATCTCTTACATGATTTATTTTAAATCGCAAATCGAGACAAAATTTTTGAATTTTAAGAGATGTGCTTTGAATATTTCGCAAATACTTTCCTTTAAACATTTTTTCAAATTTATGGACAATTTCTTTTCTCAGTCATTATGCGACAAACGTTGGAAAGAGATCTATATTTAAAGCGCGTGGGTGAAACTTTCCCGGACCGCGCAATAAATGTTTCTTCCACCTTTCCACCTCTCTCCTTCTCTCGCCTTTTTCTCGCTTTATGTCACTGCGTCGGAATACAATGCAGGTGTCTAACGAGGACACCGATACGCAATGAGCGTAATGATAGTGTTTCGCGTATTGAGCGTGCGCCGCACGCGAACAAAGCGAACGAGTGCCTTGTTATATCGATGAGAAAGATATGATCCGGCGTCAATTGAAGAGAGACGACGAGAGGCGGAATATCCGTTTTCGTGCTGCATTTATATGAATGCTTTTGCCCTCAAACAAATTTATCCCTCTGACCCATTGCTCCCTATCGATACATGAGACATGCAGCTTATAAATTAATATCGTACAAATTACATGCGCATGAATTGTGATATTTTTTCATATTATTATTAACACTAATTATTAGAGAAACCTTACACGTAATTATTATTCATTAATGAGAAAATTTAATTGCATATTTATATAAAAATATATTTATAGAGTTAAAGGGCTTCACAGATACATGAATTTTCATAGACGCATATATCGAGTTCCGCACGAATGAACAATCCATCTGCAGCAGCGAGATTAAAATTGGAGACGGAAATTAAAAATAAGTCGATGCGAGGAACGATCGCTTGTAATGGCACGTGTGGTTTTTTCGCTCGTTTCGAAATCACTGCGTAAGACCGCGATGGAGCACACACGTTGAACTAGAAAGCGTCGGTATTTCGCCGGGATTATGTAAACCGCGCCATTCTCCGCAAAGGATGATCATTTTAAAGGTGATGCGATGAATAATCGCGCGCGGAAGAACCGAGCAGATAGTTATGTCACTCATCCATCTCGCATAAATAGCCTCGCTTGTCCAGCGGTTACATTTCGCGTCAAAAAACAAAAAAAATTACTATACGTTTATTACAATATTACGATATATTTAATAGTGTATTTTGGTCGCTCTGCAATATTTTATTTATTTTTTTCTATCAGAAAATCAATGACGAAAAAAATATGACGCAAAAGAATAAAAAATAGGAGAGATACACGTTTCTTGGTTCGATGATTTTTAATTGAAATTATTGTCATAGGTATCCGCACTAGATAAGTACATGATGCAATCGGATGCAACGTTTCTGTCGAGACTGATGCAGCGTTTTCTTTCTCGCGATGATTCTGCGAATTCATTCCTTTCTTAGCGCGTCTAAAAATAGCGCCGCGAGAATTAGCATATCCGTTGAATTAATTATGCGACCGTGTGCTCTCTCCTGTCTCTGACCGTCGAATCGGCAGAGAATTTGAGAACCTAACCAGCGATGGATTTAGCACGGAAATTTGATATAAACGGAAAGAGGCGACAAAGTAGGTGGATGGATGGATGCGAAACGAATTTGACGTATGCGAGCAAAGTACGAGCAAGTTATACATATGTGTAATAATGCAAGCGCGAAAATAGCCGGACTTTATCTTACGTACGCGAACAAAATAAACGCGAATCTGCGACACGACTCGGGATTATTCTTGATTCTGGCCTCGTTATTACGCGCCCGCTATTTAATTCATGCGCTGACAAATAATCGATCTTTCCGGCACGACACGTCTAGAGGCGCTATTTGAAGCGTGATATGCGCGGTGCTTGTAAATGTCACCTTAATAATTAGTTCTTGATAATTAATTCTAGATTTTATCTTGGTGAGGAATTTTTTTCATTTTTTCGCGATAATTTATGTTAATTTAATATAGATAAATAGAGAGATAATTATATATTTTTTTATATCTTGTTTATCGCCGCGGAGACAGGAATTTTTTCGTCTGACAGTTGGACAAAGTCGTCCTCGTCGGATTCACTCCTCGTATTTCGTTCCCATCTTTCTCAATGTCGCGTGTTTGCGAACAAGTGCAGTTGACTCTGCATTTCCGGATACACTTGCAAGATGAGCCAATCTAAATTCCTCGGACAGAATTTTCTAAACGTCGATCGGAATAGAATTATGCCCTATTTAAACGTCGTCGTCGTCGTCAAGCTATGTGACTTTTCAGCTTGAAAGCAAATAAGAATGCAATAAATACCAACGTATCTTTAAATCGCAACAAACATCGCCCCTGGCAATTCTCTCGATTCGACATTGACGCATTAAAGCAATACTTGAATCGGCAATCGAGCAGATTCTGGGATTGTAGGAAAAATTTTAAATTAACTTTAATTTGATTGATAAATAAAATTTTATTGAAGGAACTCTAAGTTTTTTACACGCAAAAAGTTACTGCTTTGCCTCAAACTTGTCAGTTTTTTCCTAATCGCTAAATTGCCGAAGGTTACACACGCACAAAAAAAAAGAACATTCTTGTTTTGAAAATATATTTAGTTTCCACATGGAAATCTTAAAATAAGATTATATTGCGTTAATTAAAGAAAAATATAATTGCTCGAATGAAGCCATTTTATATAGTTTAATCGAGAAAAATATATTCTTATGATTTGAAATTTAATTTTCTTGAATGGAAAAGAAACAATGTTAGACATAGAATAACATTTTTAAATCAAAGATTATAATTTTCTTAAAGTAGAATTAAATAATTATATATTCTTGAGGTGACAATTACAATATTAAAATAAGACTATATTGTTGAAATTTAAAATTTTTAAATTCTTCTAACAAAATTATAAATTGTTGCGTATGTACGAAACAATGAACGCGTTAATTTAAGTATATAAATTTTTATTCGACACTTATTTTTTTTCTGTGCGCGGAGGCAGATAAAAATATTATCCGAACATTGGGGAGGCCAAGCCTTCGTCGATTATTGCACCTTGTAAAACCGTCCGTCCGTCCATCCGTCAGTCGGTCTGTCCTTGGTAAATTAGAGCATTCGCGCTCGACGTGTATAATTATAGAGTTCGCTCGTCATCGACGACAACGAAACCCTTCCCTTCTGGTATCTCGATTCCCGCGCGAAGAAGTAACGCCAGTCGATATTAGCCCCCTGCCTTCCCGAGGCGCGATGCTCTCTTATTGTGTACTCGAACCTGAATTAAATTTCTCTCTAGGAAAATCTCCTCGCCACCTCCGTCATCGACTCCCGGACACGCGACGTAAGCGTCGACCCTTTTTTCACTCCAATTGAATTTCTCACGCCAGAAATAGTAGCCCGCGTGGGCGTGACGTGCACGTGCTGCGCGCAAACTTATTGTTGGAGCGTATCGTCATATTTATATCCGAGCGGATCAATCGTTCTTTCAGAAAACGTTGCATTACGTTGCATTACGTTGCATATAAGAATGCTTACAGACGTCATACTTTTTCCTTTAATGAAAAAGCAAGTCGAGGGAAGACCTCGAGTCTCTCGTCTTTAAAAAAAAAAAATGTTGGCGATGTAATATAATTTTCTTTAGCAACAGATCGAGAATTTTAAGTCGAAATTATACGTCGTTTAATTATTATTAAAATTAAACATCGACAAAAACAAGTATGTAGCAAGGACGCGAAATACACATAAGATTAAAATAATATATGTAAAAGGAAAAAAAACGGTCTATAAAAAATCTAAATATAAAGAATATGCAGACAAACAACTTAAGTCGCGGGATTATCGACGTTAATCAAAATTTACATACGAGCAAAACAAACTTAAGGGTATTCCATGTCGTCAGATATATGTGTTAATAAGATATATAAATTATTTATTTTCATGTTAAATATACAGGTATTTTAAACTCATTTGTGTGTCGAAAGTCGAGAGGAGAGAACTCGATCGGGGATCTAAAGACTCGACATCTCGTCGCGCAAAATGCAGTCTTGACGTTGGAAGTCATCGAAAAATACGATCTTAAAACTCTCGAGAAAAGTGGAGGAGGGGGGAGAGGGAAAGGGAGGAGAATAATTCGGGATGTAATAGCGATAAAAGTAATAACGTGCATGCGATGCATACGGTGAGTTCGAAAGGAGTACGCAGAAAAAAATAAGTGTCAAATACGCAACAATCTATAATCTTTTTACAAGAATTTAATAATTTTAAATTTCAACAATATTATAATCTTATTCCAATAGATATTATAATTGTTATCTCAAGAATATATAATTATTATAATTGATCTAATGAATTAAACTCAAGAATATATAATTATTATAATTATTATAATTGTCATCTCAAGAAGATATAATTATTTAATTCTACTGTAAAAAAATTATTTAATTCTATTTAATGAAATAATTATTTAATTCTACCAAAAAAATTATAATCTTCGATTTAAAAATGTTATTTTCTGTCTAACACTGTTTTCCTTCCACAAGAAAATTAAATCTTAAATCATCCGAGTATATTTTTCTCGGTTGAACTATATAAAATGGCTTCATCCAAGCAAGCAATTATTCGAGCAATTATATTTTTCTTAATTAACGCAATATAATTTCATCTCAAGATTTCATGTTAAGATTGAAGATATTTTCAAAACAAGAATGTCCTTTTTTTTCTGTCGCGCATAGCTACGACGAGAAAGGAGAACCAACAACGCGGCCGGCTCCGAGGAGGCCGCGAGGAGGGGATGCAGCGGTGAGCGCGTGACGGGACACGTGACCGAGAGCACACGGTGCTCGCGTGACCGGCCTCGTGACGTCACGCGCACGTGTCGCATAGCGTGGTAACTGCCGCGGGCGCCCCACTCCACACCTGAGCAAGGCTCACCTTCCTCGCCTTCGTCCGCCGTCTTGCCACCCCCCCCCCCGCCGCTTCCCCCGTCTCGTCCCACCCGTCCTGTTCGCCCCGCACGTTGGCCAGTAGCGTCTCAAGTTCCCTACCTCGCCCGCTCGACGAGCTCGCGGACTTTCACCTGGAAAGCTGATATTTTTCTCTTCCCTTCGTTCCTTTTTTCCTCTTTTTTTTCGCACGGAGCTGCACCTTACGTCGCATTTGCATCATCGGTTGTGTTACGTGGCGACGACGCGCGCGGTTCTCTGAGGTTGAGCCTCGATTCGAAAGCTACTTGTGTTGGATACTTGGAACTGGCATAACGTGTGTATTCGTTATTTATATCTGTTATCGTGGGTGTGTAATTTCCTTCCTACGAATTTATTTTGATAATTTTTGAAATAGAATCGTGGACCGTGATTCATCGGTGTCAGGCAATTCGTATTCTTTCTTATTTTTATTATGAATTTACTACCAATTATATTGTAGTTTTTGATTGTTTGGCTAACAATTCTTGCCTAGCTTTTTCAGAAAAATATATATTTTAAAATGATATAGTAGGTGTTCGTTCCAGTGATCGAAATTTGTGATTTGAGATGCATCAATCGATATCGAGGATCGATTTTCAATATTCCAATGTTACAAAGTCAATAAAAAAAAGATGCTATGAGAAAGAACGAGCTGCATTGATCATAATATCATATGTATCATATCATAAGACAATGTTTTAATTATATCATGTATCATTTCTTCTAAAGTGTAATAATTATTTATAATATTATAATTTGTTCGTAAAGAAAGAGATTTGATTTGATACTTCTGGATTCGTTAATTTTTTCAATAATTTTTTCAATAATTTTTTCAAACTGTCGAAGTAATTAAATAGTTAGATAAAAATTCAACATCATGTACAATAATAGAAAATTCATATATACGTTAATATTAATATCAAATTACATGTATAATCTAGTGAATATTTATGAGTGTCACAAGGCTAATAATATTTTCTTTTTATTTATTATATGATAAAAACATTTTTATAAATGATCCAGGTAGAGTAAAACTTGCAAATAGTCATTAATCTTGATAGAAGCGCACCTGTCGTGTTCTTTTGCAGATGTACTTGAAAGATAAATTCAATGCGATTTTTGTTTCGCACGTGTATTTAATAACAAAACGCGATACTTTGATGAGTAATAATTCCAAAATACACGCACTCTGGCATTATAAGCATTGAGATCAGCGTCGAGAATGTACTCTCATTTTATGAGAAACCGACAAAAAATATTCGATTCTATTTTAACACGAAACTTTACGAGAATAGAATATTTTTAAACTTTGATCGATACTTGGAGGAACATCGCTATCAATTGTAATAATGTCACTTTGTATATCATTTTATTACTTGTATACTTTGTTTTGACTTATCCTAAATCACTTATTGTTAGATTTAAAAAAATACATAGCAATATTAACGTGTCTTTGCGATTATAAATTGTGCTCGTCCTCCGCTATTTTCCATCTAGTTTTTACGGTTCATCAATTAATCAATTATGATTGATATTCGCGTCAAATAAATTCGTATTATCGTTCGAAGAATTGTTTTTGTAATCATGCGAAAGTGTATGGAAAACTCATTTCACTGCTAATTATTATAAATTGTGTGAATTTATTTTTGAAATACATATATATCCGAGGAAAGTAAGTAGAGACAATAAAATGGATAAAAATAATCCATAGAAAATAAATAGAAAATAAATATCGATAAAAATAATCGATAGAAAATAAATAGAAAATAAATTGGACACGCACGCACACACACACACACACACATATATATATACAATCTTTTTCTCTCGACGAAACTGTAGATCGTGAGAACGATGTGATGCAGCACTTCTCAAGGCGTGTTTGTTTCCGTTTTGGTGGTTGTGTACGCGCGTGCACCGCTAAAACTGTTTTCAGATGCTTTGTCATATCGTTCCGCGTACATTTATCAACACGTGATGTGTCAAGAACGATCTTATCGTCCCCCGAACGCGCCGTCATCGCGGAATCGTGTCGACGCACGTTCCAATCTTGTGATCCAGGTTTGTGGCTCGCAAATTTTTCCGCTCTAGAATTTGCACGAGCATTTACATTCCGTTTATAAAAGTTAATTTCTCCCGCTAATATTAACTTTGCTGAAAAGAGTTAACTCGTGGGAAAGCAATTTTGTAGTAAAAATAAAGTTTGCTAATGAAACTAAAAACAAAGGAAAATAATTTTACTAACTCTGCAAAGGAACAAATTACTTAACATTATCCGCGTGTCGAAGAATAAATTTCATCAGTGCTAAAATTCGAGATGATTTTCCTCGATATTAATCAATGCGAGCACTTTCTTTTTCATATTTAGATAAAGATCAATGTGTGGAAGAATCAATGTCATACCAATCTTCCAATTCGAGAAGAGATGCAAAATGTTTCGATATATGTCAAATTATATGTCAAACAGCTGATCGAAATTTTGACAGGTGAGACCACGTGATCGTGTGACGTTACGACTCACATGCTACGTTATTCCCAGATGTTGCACTAGATAGTTGCACCCCAATCGCGATCATCGCAGCCGCACCTGAGACGGCTCCGGATTTACCCCCACCATCCTCATCAGCAGATCCACTGTAACGCGCCTCAGGAACCACTGTAACATGGGACAGGACCGCGCGCGCGCGATTACACGTAACTTGTCGTAGGCGACGACGACGCGCGTGTGTGTGCTTGCTTTGCGAATCATCGCGACTCGCGGAGGATCCAAGAATACCAAAGAGAAGATTTATGTCACGGTTGCATCGATCGCGACCGATAATTTCCCGAATTTATCGCTCTTATCTCTCATTCGCTCGACGGGGAATTACACCTTGGAAATATCAAGGGGAATTACACCTTGGAAATATCAAGACGAGCAAGTTGGACGAATCACGACGACTCTGATGAAATTTCGCGCTCGCGAATGCGAGTCAACGGCCTTATCAGCGTCATCAGTATCATCGGCTGCACCGAATCCCCCTCGATCTTTCTGAGAAGAAGCGTCGTGAAATCCTCGAGAATCCCAAAGAGAAAAGCGCGAGCATCGGAAGCGTAAAAAAGTCCCGACAAATCCCGAGGAAACGTCGAGGTGAAGAGAAAGGGCGCGGAAAAGATCAGTTCTAAAATAACCATCCCGAGAAACGATTCATCAAATTTAGCGAGACCCGCTCGAGGGGGATCTCGGATCCGATCGCGATCGGAAAACGAGGCGCAAATCAGTGAACGGCCGCGCGGCTCGTGCACGCGCGTCTCGTGCTGCAGCGCGCGCGGAGGAGGGGGGAGAGAGAGCGCGCGCGCGAGAGAGAAAGAGAGAGAGAGAGAGTGACAAGGTGGGAGGCGGGAGAAAGAGGGCGCCAGTACGGGATATCGCGCGCGCGAGACCGGACTTGGCTGAGTGTCGTGGGCGAATTCCTCTGTCGCGCGCCACCGGCCGCACTCTCGTCGCCGCGAATGTGTCAGTGAGTCCGTGGACGTGAAAATAACCTAATCTCGTGCGCCGCTATCATCCGTGACGCGACGCGACGTAACGTGACGTGTTGTGCGGTGTATGCGTACGTGCATGCGTGCGTGCGGTGAGTTGCTGCGTGTCGTTCGATTCGTCCTTCCTGCCGCGCGTCCGTTCCGTCATCGCGGCGCCGACCGATCGATCTCGGTCCAGTTCCAATTTCGACGATCGAGACGGTCGGGCTCGATTTCGACTTTCCCTTCTTCCTCTCGAGCGAGGAGCGAGGAGAAACCGCCGGTCCCCCTCGCCCGTACACGCCCGTCACGTTCAGCTGTCACGTGACGCGCGCGATTCTCGTCAGCCGATTCCTCTCTCGCGAGAGGACACAATAACACTGCGTTTAGTGGACGTTTTAAGTGCGAGGAACGAGAGGAGAGCAGTGCGATCATCGCCGGGTACCAGCGTCGTTCTATGCGGCAAGATGATGGAGACACAGAATTACTGGGAGGAGAACTCGGCGCATTCGATGCAGGTGAAATACGAGAGGTAAGTGCGTGTGTGTGTGTGTGTGTGTGTGCGTGTGCGTGTGCGTATGCGTGCGTACGGTTGCTAAATCGAATGAAAAGCCAAGGCTTCGTCGTATCTAGTTAGAATTAGATAAACCTTATTTTTACAGCGATCTATTTTTATTTCTAGATGTATATCTCTAAGATTGTACTTACGAGAGAAAGCAAATTTATTTACTCGTCGCACGTTTTTAAAGGCGCGCGTTTTAAATGACGTTGACAAATCGATCGTAATTATAATAGGTTATATATTAATGAGATTTTCAAGCCTTCGCGCTAGATTTGATTTGATTAATGAGGATATATAGTTGCAGAAATTAGAAAATAATAATGTATGCAACTCTACGCTTATTTGCATCTAGATTAGTGAAAATTAAAATATAAAAACGCATGCGTATTTTGAAGATTCAATAAAACGCTATAAACAAAGGCTATAAACGTTATATTACACGTAAACCAATTGTAAATAAACGCGAATAAATATATCCATGCCGGCGAAATAAATATCGATAACGTGAAATATGCAAGATGTAACGGGCTCATTTCGATACTTTTTTGCGCCATTTAAAAACATCGCATTTGTGGATGTACATTATTTACGAGGACGCGGGAAGGAGAGGAGGGAGAGGAGGTACACGTGTTTTTCCACGATCGAATGTTTTCGCATAAACGACTGTGTCATGGGTCGGATCGCTAGCGTCATTTGTCACGTGTATAGAAATCAGCGAGACAATATACGAGACAAGTCATTTACATCTTTTAGCAGTGTCGCGTTGCACGTGCTTGGAGGTGACTCTATTCCTCGCTTTAGTTCACCTCGTGAAAAATTCACCTTTCATTATTATTCGCGTAAACGAGCATGACGAACGATGATTTCGCGAAGTCATTAAGATAAAGTCTCTCTTTCAGTCGACGAGAAACGTCGACACGTGCGAATGACGATGTGACGCAATGAAGAAAAACAATGTCAAACGTGTCGGGTCGTTTTTACCGCGTCGAGTCGGCGACATATAATAATAAACGGTCGGGTTTTCAACGTTCCAGGAACTTTCTCGCGTCTGCAGTCCGCTAATTAGCCTCGCTTTGTTTCTTTTTCCCTCGGAGGGAAATTACAGTGGTCAATAATAATCGTAGAATTGCGAGATGACCTGGAGAGATTAAAGATCGAGACGCACTTCCGCTTATTCTTGATGCATTGAAGCAGATTATTACGTAAAAAAAATATTTATGAATATCGCGCTTAATGCGCATTCACACGTATGTCTGTTGCATAACGTCACGCGAACATTGAGACGCTTCGCAGCTCCATTCATCCCAACTTTTTCATCCGCATATCGAGTCTCACGCGTGCACAAAAGAGTGTTTTTCTGAAGATTCTATCGAAGGCCATTGGTCAGCCGCGGCTTCTTTCTATTTCCGAGTTGCGTATTTTCGTCACGTTTTGTACATCGAAATCCAAATCAGAGGCATACATTTGCAAAGCATTATGTCTGACATTTAGAATGAATTCTTTCTTCGCGATACAATTCATTCGTGAATATAATTTTAAAATTCAACGCGGAGAAGAGATATATTATACTAATTTCCGGTGGCGATGTTTTAGAATAATAAGAAATTCTCGCGAATATTGCGTCATTCATTCCGAGAGTATCTTTTCGAATTTCGCTAGATAAGCGAAGGTACTGGCATATTAGACGGCTTCATTCATGATCTCGTGCAAGATTTTGAAACCCATAACATTTTATCAGCAAATCAACAAATCGTCTATGATATACGAAAAGTAGTATCCTCGTTATCTAAATACACATAGGTGCTTCGACTTGGTCGTGTGTATCCTCCCCCCCCCTCTCTCTTTCCTTTTAGCACGTGTTTATTTTCTCCATCTCTATTTGTATATTTTCTTGATAATTAGGCTTGTAGATATCCTTTATTTGTATTCCTGTGAGAACACGCTACTAAAAGATTCATGGCCGCGTACGAGATAAAATACAGATATCAGTGGTCTGTCAATTATACACTATAAATTCAGAATATGTCATCGAAGAGAGAGAGAGAGAGAGAGAGAGAGAGAGAGAGAGAGAGACAGACGAGAAATTATCTTATTAATATTCGATACTGAAACGTGTTTCGTTACAATTTAAAATCTCTATCGAAAATAATAATGAATAATTATTTTATATAAAGTAAATATCAATATAATTATTTTATCGAGATCTTGCAAATTCTAATTTTTAATCTGGTTATAATATATACAACTAAGAAAATTAAAAGTTTATTTTTTAAATAATTATAATTAATTTTAAAAAATAAAATAATTTCTTTCGTTTATGTATTTATGGTGTGACTGAAATAATCTGTACGTCGATCGAGATCGTTCTCTATGAGCAGTTTTATAAAGTGCTATTTTTTGCATCTTGGCAATACGTGCCGGCCATTGACACTGCCAATCGATCTGTAGGGATTTATTCACGCGTCCCTCTACGTTTCTCGTATATATATACGCATAAGGCGGGCATTTGTATGATTGCATGTCTAACCACCTGCATGGGTTAGTGCATACTTGTGGGAATACAGGGTATTGCGACACATAGCTGTTGGAGATCACACAAAATAGAATGCCATTTATTACAGAAGACACATGTATTAATAATTTTAGCGAATTGCAATTTAGAAAATTAAGAATCGTGTAAGAATAAAAAAGAAAGATAGATAAAAAAATTACGAAAATTAAGGATCATGAAAGAATAAAAAAGAAAGGTAGATAAAAAAAGTTTTTATTAACTTTGGAAAAATATACTTGATTTTCTTTTCTTTTTTTTTTAATAGGATCTTACTTTGAGAATTGATTATAATAAGTTATAGGGAAAAGTGTGACGCTTGTCACTGCAATCTCCATTCACAAAGAGCTTTATTTTTATAGCCTATTATTTTTTATTTAGACTTGCAATTTTCTCAATCTTATTTTTTTCTCGTTCGACCCGATATCAACAATTGACGATCGCGGGCGAACAATACCTATATGCGCGATGTATGTCGCGACACCAAGCTATGGCTGGTGACGCAAACGGGATGAGTGCCTGCGTCATGGAAAGCAACTGCGACCTGAACGGGATCGTAGTACGATTAACAGATCAACCGGATGTCAGGTATTTCGGCAACGTTATTTGTTTTGTAGCGCAATCGTTCTCCTGTGTCAATAGAAATAAATATTACATCATAAATATATTTCTTCGACATCAGCGATTTTCGATAAGCAAAATTTTCAATTTTCGAGACATTCTCGATTTTTGAGGAAAAATAATAAGAATTGTAAACATAATGATACAATCCATCGTATGTCCCTGAATTGAGCGTGACATAATTGATGCGTTTTTAATAACACAATAGTTCGTCAAGAATCATTATTCTAACAAACATAATCAGTGTTCCTCTTGATACACAATCAGTATTCCTATAAAAATATGATATTTACGAAAGAAATAACGTGCTTTTTTTCATAGTTAGCTCGACTCGTAAAATTCAACAGGCCAAATTGTTAATAAAAGATAACGAAATATGATTGTTGCATTTTGTCCTATTAGTTCTCTTACTTCCGCGTCACTTGCGTCTTGCGAGATTCCTGATGACTCGATAAACCGGCAAAAAAACCGTCGGAGGAATGAATCGAAGTAAATTAACGACACTTCTGTGAGAGAGAGAGAGAGAGATAATTATCAAGGGGATATAATAACGCAACGTTTCGCGCACAATGCTGCGCCGTGCGTTTCAATTATGTATATTCAAGAAGCGTGCATAATTAGAAGCGCGCGCGCGCACGCTCACGTGTATGTGTGCACGTGTATATATATGTCGTGTGACTCCACGTGCGCGCGACGAAGGTAAATCTCTTACAGCGCCTCTGCTATGGATGCCTATTCCAAACTCATTTTCCATTCGAGTGCTGCAAATTGCGATAATTACCGGCGTATTACGACAAGCGGCACAATTGCGCGTCGGCTTTTTGCTTAGAATGTAAATTTCGCTCCTTGTAATAGTATTGTGTCTCGTGTTTGACGTTGGTAGTGAATGACGCGCGCTAACTTTTTAAAATTAACATACCGCGCTCGTAACATTCGCATTTGCAATTGGATCAATCAAAACAGCCGCGACGATTTTATATTTTACAGGAAATATAATAATATATAATAATAAAAATTAATAATAATAAAATATAATAATATACATAATAATAATAATAATAATAATAAAATATAATAATATAATAATAATAAATATAAAAATATAATAATAAAAAATGTGAAATATATAATAATAAAAAATGATGGGTACATTAAAGAATTATAATATAATGTAATAATAAAATACAATAATAAAAATGAATAATAATAAGAAATATATATTTTTAATTAAAGCGTTTGGGGAAATGTTATATCGATCAACAAAATTATCTTCTAAATATTAGTCTGTTTCGGAGATAATATTTCAATTACATAATTGCTTATACAAGAACATCTTGTTAAGTTTCTTGAAGTGTTTACTCTTTGAAATATCTCATACATAATTTTTCATTTACATCAAGAGAAGCGTGTCTCGTGCAAAAATTATCTAGATCTGACGAATTATTATCTGTATAAGCTGTAAGTTATACGAGTAGTAGTAGTCTGCGTTATCGTCATCGGCTCTTATCAGCGTAACATACGGGGCCTGAAATTAAATGCAAGTACGAGAGAGCGTGCGTGAGTCAACAGAGTGTGCGGAAATTTTCACATATATAAGGATGGTATCGAGACGATAGACATTTTCCATATATAAGGATGGTTTCGCCGAGAGAAAAAAAAAACACATGTGCGCGCGAAGCTTCTTTCCGAAATAGAAGTCCGGCGATGACATCAATGGAATTCGATAGCACCAATAATTCTCACGGCCGCGATATTTATACACATCCCGTCTGTCGGTCGCTTGTCATCGGCTATTTATTAT